TGAAGGGGAGGGAGAGCCGTGCGAAGGGCAGAAGGGAGGCATGGCGAGAGAGACTGGAACATCACGGCCCCATAGGGCACACGATGCGTGGACCGCACGGGGGGATAATGGTGGACCCATTGAATAGATCAATTTACAATGGCAGAAAATGAGCAGCGCTCCCCCACCCTCCACCCTTCGTCACGACGCCCTTCTGGCCCCCGACCCCCACCGCCGGTCGCGAGTCGCCCGGGCTCGACTCTCCACGCTTCGCCGCTTCTCACGACTCGCCGGCCGCCGTGGTCGGGCCCCGACTGAGGATCACGCATGCGCTGCACTTCGCGACAGCCATCGAGCATGCGTGAACATACGCACGCACGGCACGATGCAGCGCGGCGTGGTGCGGCACACGCAACGTGAAACGCGAAATAATCCCGCACGCAGCGTGCGGCCCTTTTGTCGTACGGCCCTATTGCCGCGGCGGTATCGGCGGGAGGGGGCAAGTGGGGTGGAGGAGGAGGAGGAGGGAGCGACACGACCGAGGGGTATCTCTCTCTTTCTCTCTCTGGCACGGCACGCCTCGAAAACCGCCGCAAGAGGATTGTCACCTGCTTATCTGCCGACGTGCATCGTCGCAGCGTCGCGTGAGAGACGCGCCTAGTGACGGCCTTCAAAACAATGTCCACTTGAATATCGATGCTGCCTTTTGGCCGTGTTAGTTAACGTTCGCGCGAGTATCGAGCGAGGAGTGTGTTATCCGGCCGGCTGAATGCACGCGCGGGAGAGAGAGAAGCTGCAATTATGTTGCGAATACTCGCCCGTCGTGCGGTATCATTACTCGTCCCGCGTGTGTATTATTATTTCTTATGCACGTTATACTCGCACCGTGCTCGTAACCTCGCGGGACGACGGTTCGAGGACAACGGGGCAAAATCCGTCGGGTGGAGCAAACAGTCGGGGGATAACGGAATTCCCAAACGAGCATCCGGAAGGACATGGTTGAACGGCTTTTGTCGAACGGTCTCGGTCGCACGCGCGTTGCGACAGCATGCGGTTTTGCAAATGGAGTTCTCGCTCTGAGACGCAGTTCAGAGTTCATTGTTCGCGGCCGTACGGGCCGAATTTGACTCGCCGGACACGTTCACAAAAAGGTATTCATCTCGTCAACCTTGCGCGATTCTCAACACCTCTTTTCACGGATTTCTTTTGTTCCCTTTACATTTTTACCTCGAATTACCCAAACGACAATTTGAGGCGACTGTAATTGTAATGATTGGTCCGCAGCTGTAAAGTGCAAAAGTATGTATAAGTATATCAATATAAAAATAAGTATAAACGCGAGATATTTTACAGTGCGCAACGATAAGATGCTCCGGATTCAAATCGAGTGCTTCGACTTCGTGTAATTGGCTGGGCCATTCGAAGGCAGGAGATGATACTGCGCGAACAAAAATCTATTCGCGGCACGTGTGACTCCATATATCGCTGGTACATACGAGAGAGAGAGGATACACGCGCGGTAGACTATTATCCGCCGAACGTAATTTGTTTATCTACTCTGCTACGCGGTCGTAATCTCGGAATTAACGCGAACCCGTACGCGACGGGACGGTGGCGGCCTTCCGCGGCGCGTTAAGCTGCGCATCGCTGTTAGTCGAGAATTTCAGATACGCGATTTTATTGGCGAGCACGCGCGCGGCAGGGGGTCGGAAATTGTGTCGCTAATATAAGTTAAAATACGAGACCGGAGCAAGTTTCGAGCGAGCCAACGCGAAACCGACAACACGGTCAATGATGGTACGCGCAAACGACAATGGTTCGCGAGTGAAATATTTGAAGGACTTGACGTGGTACTGCGAGAGAGAGAGAGAGAGAGGGGGGAGAGGGGGGAGCACATGAGACAAATTTTACGAGCCGCGTGTTTTTTGAAAAAAATGCGTGGTTAAATGGCTGCTAAGAGGATGTGCCGATAAAATTCCAGTATATTCTACTTCGCGATTCTTTCCATTTGCTTTTTAATCCCAATTAAAATTAACAACAAGATCTGTTGGGATTGTGTCCGATTTACGACGCTGTTCAATTTTTCTTAATACAGGGCAACGAGTGACCCGCTTTATTTGTAAATTGTACTCTTCTGAATGTTCGTTAAATGTGTCGCGAGCTGATAACGTTAAATCGAAAACAACGCTTTTAGGTATTACTTTGATATGCGAAAGGTTAACGTATCATTTGCTAAAGTAAACGTTGAAATATCTGATTAAGATAATGTGTGTGATTGTCGAGTACCGATACAAATCAATAAAACAAATCAAGAGTATCTCTCACGCTGTTCTCCATTTCAACGATTATTCTCTCCGTGCACTCAAAATAGAGATATACTCAGACAACAGCGCGATGACTCCTTTCCTCGGCGTTCATCGTTGCATTATTTAGATTTAGATTTCCCGTCGCACAATTAACTTTAGCTTGTCACGAGACTGCATCGCGTTGTGCTCTTAAGAACCCGGGATAGAAAAGGAAGATTACACCGGATAATTATACTTTACCTCCGCAGTTAATTATCGAGCACTTCATTACGACTGAGAGTTCGGTGCGCATACTCGAGAGAGACGGGAGAGAGATGCCGAGAGGCAGAAGCGGTGGGGAGGGGGAAAAAAATATTCGAGTAAACGATGAGACGGTACACGCGCGGCGGCATCGTCGTGAGGTAAACGTCCCCCTGTGCGGTCACGAGCATCGCTTTCCGTCGTCGTCGCGCGTTTTGAAACGCACCTTATGGCGCGCCTTATTAAGATGCAAATGTCATGTCGGGGTTTCGTAACGCGTCGACGGAATATATCCGCGAGTGCGCGCGCGAAGAGGCGTCCCGGCGGCGCTGTAACAACGTCGACGCGGATAAATAACGCGGAGGAAACCCGAAGAAGCCCGCCGGTCGGTGTTCTCGGCGAGCGCGGTAAAAGCGCAACACGCGTCTCCCGCGCGCTCTGCGTTCGAGAGAGAGAGAGAGAGAGGAGGGAAGAACGGTGGGCACGCTCGATTATCTCGGGAATCTCGATACGCCGTAGATTTCGAGCGTTTTTATCGCTGGAAGTTTTCGGCGTTTAACGCGGCAAAACAATGTATACACACGGACCCGCCGTCACCTTATCCTACCTCGCGCCTGGGCTTAACTCTTATCGTTATCTCGGCATAGCGCTGTCTCAAAGCCACTGCTACCGTATTACCGACGACGCCCTATATAGACGCACCTAAGTCGAACGAATTTTTTCTTTTCTCTCGCTCCTTTCCTCGCAGCGCTAATGAGAGACGCGTGCGCGTCTCTCGAAGAAGCGCATCCTCGCGAAAATTCTTCCTGCGCCGAAACGACGAGATCCCCGCGATCGGGTTGTGCGCGTGAGATGTCTCTTTAAGAGACATGTGCGCGCGCGCTCGTCTCCGTTATCTCAATTGAGAATTTTAATTAAAACGCGTAATCCCATTGTACCGCGGTTGTGACCGTACCGTATAATGCCGACGCGAAAATAATCGCGGAGGCTATCTAACAGCTATCTAACGGTGTAGCGCGGGCGCCGATAGCCTTCAATCTAAATGTGCTGAATTCGTTTGCATCGGTTCACCATAAGCAAACGAGCACGATAACATTTTTATTGCCCGTCCCGTCGTCCCGGGCTTAATATACTGTCGTCGTGCGCGCGCGCAAACGCCGTTGTATTTTTAGAAAGTACGGGAAAGAGGAACGCGAGGCGGCCGTGGAGATAGACACTTTTCATACTCCTTCTCTCTCTCTCTCTCTCTCTACTGTTCCGTCCGAAGAATCGATTTTCCGACTCACCGCCGAGGAGAGATTCTCCCGGCTGCGTGAACGCGAGATCAAGCGGTCGCGGTTCAATATACGCCTCGTTACGTAAAGCCCGCTGCTGCTGCGACAATTAGTCCGATATCTCGAAAGCAGACCGATGTCGCCCGACGACGTGAAAAAAGAGGAGGGAAACGCACTCCTCTGCCTTCCAGCCGCGAGAAGCGACGCGAATTTCCCGCGCCTGGCGGTGATCTTCGAGTTCGGCCGTCGAAGGCACGCGGAAACGCACACGCGGGAGCGAACGTAGGGAGGAACGTACACTATCCGAGACCTTCGAGAGAGGATCTACGCGCGGTCCCGACAGGCAAGACGGCCAAATGGTATGTTTTAAAAGGTCCAAATCGTTTCACGGCATGCGGCCCCGCAGGCTTTCGGGTTACCTACGCGTGTCCTTGGGGGACCTGCCTCAGGTGAGCCGCTGGCAGGGGAAAGAAAAAAATAGGAAGAAGGGAAAGAGGGAAGAAACGCGCAGTCTCGCGCGAGCGAGTCTTCCTCTCCTTGTCGTTGCCAGTCTAGGAAACGCATATACCCGGGGCCCTAAACTCTCCTTCTCTTTCCTTCTCAACGGTAATCCTAAAAATAAGTCCCACGGCGAATAGGTAGGGTCCTGCCTCGTCGATGCTCGGTCTAATGTTGTGGCACGGAGAGACGGAGGACGCGCAGTGACTCATGCGAACGCTTGAAAATCGCTCGGGGACATTCTCTCACGGAAGAACGCGCGACCGAACGAAACCGCGACGTCCTTTCGCGAGGATTTCGCCACCAGCAGAAGCTGCCGGTAACGGAACATCGTCCACACGATGAAATCGTACATGGAAAAAAGGTGCTGGATTCAAGTAAATAATTACTCCAGCACTACTCAGCGAATTTCTACTCGGATCAAGTAATATACTTGGACCTGCTCTTCCGCGGTACATATGCTAAAGTGATATATTTACAAGTAAAGCTCACTCAATAAGTAAACTTTGGCGAGTAAAAATTTGGGATAATTATTTATTCGAGCCGAGCAATTTTTTTCTGTGCACATTTCGACTGCGCTTCTCCATTTATCGCCTTCCAGACGTTTGCGTAAACCTTCGTGACGGTTTAATTGCAACAATGACATATGAAGCATCGAGTAACGAGTTCAGATAGCGTAAATGTGCGGTGTTTTTAGACTCACCTGTTTTGAAAATACGGCGATATCCTCGTTGAAGCTTTCGGACGAACAGACGTCGCCACCCGCTACACCAGGTTCGCGCGGTGTACACGTCGCAAGTTCGCATTTCTCGAATATGAGCGCGAGCAGCGGGAACAGGGGATGTCTGAAAGAAAAAACGAGAGAGCGTGTTTAATGATAACGGCGATTACGCGTAGACGAGTAGACGCAACATTGACGAAACGCGGGCACCATTTCGCAAAAGCGACGCCGCCGAGACGATCTCCGGGCACGGTCGTGCCGCTAATTAACAATCGACGATTTTTTCGGGCCTCACAGAACTATTACCCCCCCCCCCCCTCCCGGTTGCGATTCATTCTGTCGAAAAGCCGATAAATTATTCTTCGACGTTCCGCATTATTACGCAAACGCGTCTCGAACACTTATGAAAGTAGGCGTGCGCGTTGCGAAAATCTCGAGCGAAACGCAGCCGACGTTCTCGGCATAATTAATCGATATCGGTAATTAGCGAATGGCGCGCAGTATATCGCGAGAAAGAAAGAAAGAAGTTATCGGCGCGTCTCTTCTCGACGAGGCGCTCGCAACGGCGAAATCCACGAGGGAAAGTCGTACACTCGAGGAGACGCGATCCCGCTCGCGAGGGTCGGCGGGTGCGTTCGTAAACAACGTTTCTCGAATCACCAAGGCGTGGTCCGCGCGAAAAAGCGATCCGGGATGGGGCACAATGTCCCGTCCGAGCGAGCGCGCGGCGGTAGACCAACCGACCCGGCCGACCGCGTTTTTCTCTTATCCGCGCGTGACCGACGAGCTGGGCCGCCGCCTGTTAGCGCTACGAGGACGCAATTAAGTCGGACAACCATGCGGCAGAAGAAGCGAAATCCGGCGTGAAGCGCTTAACCGAAAAGCAGCGGTGGCCGGAGGACTTTCTTTCCGCAGCCTGTGAAAAAAAAAATTTCCTACGCCTCGCTCGCTCGTGGGCGAGCGCGCGCAACCGTTGGCATTCGCTCCCCCTCTCCCCTTCATTTCATTGCGCAAAAAAAAAAAAAATATAAAAAAGAAAAAGATACGGAAGCGAGCCTGGGTCACACCGGCGGCCTCCTCTCTTATTTCCGAGTTGTGTGGCGCAGCACAGTGACGGCGCTTTTCTTTTCTCTCCGCGATCCGAGATGTTAATTGCGCGCATTTACATGCGTCTTCATTATCGCTGTAATTGTATGTTTCTAGCAATACGATTGTACATATATGAAACGTCAACGACTTAGGTTTCTCTGTCGCGGACTACGTTAGTAAATTAACTCCTACCCGCCGCGATCGTGCATGCGATCTGGTATTTTGTATCGTTCGTATTGCACAAATGAGAAGGCCGGGGAGAGCAAAAAAGTCTTCCCTACCCTGCCTTTAACTTTTATTTTTCTCGCAGCACTTCGCCGGAATAACGCTAACGTCCAATGTACTCAACTACTCCTACGAGTCATCTCATCTCTCTCTTTCTCGTTCTCGCTCATTCGCTCGCTCGTTCTCGCTTATAACTCGATTCCCGCTTCTGCTCGTTTCGTCCGACACGAGGCGATCACATATCCACGAACAAATTGAATAATGACGGAGAACGATCGATAATACAAAACGCGTGTCTCTTTTTCTCTCTGTCTGTCCTCATGACAGAATAAAACACACACGTGTTCGCTGGAAAACCGCAAACTTGATGGGTGGAGTGTGCTAAATAATGAACGGACAGCTGCGAATCATTTTTACTTTCCTTCGCGTCACAGTTCCGCACGCGCGTAAAACTGTATCGATCATGACGAATCGAATCGATTATGTCTAGAGACGCGAGTCTACGCGGTTCGATCGTCATTGTTAGTCAGAATACAAGCCGTTCGAGGAACATTGACGTTCGCGTGCTATTTTTTAAACTGTACACGAGATAAACGGCGATAAAATGTACTAATTGCTAACGGCATTAAATTGTACTAATGAAGAATGAGAAGAAAAAGTTAATGTTTTAACGTTAATCTATCTCGAATGTCGAAGTAGGTCGTAATGGCGAAATGTGCCGCAGATAATGATGAAATATGTCGGTCACACTGACCGAAGTGGGCCCCGATTTTGAACGGTACGCGCACGTATACATGGAAATACGCTATCGGACTCGAGTTGGGTTATCGTAGAGGAGCGCTTTAGATATTACAAATTCTCTTAGGATCGCTTCGAAAAGCAGAGCATGGAGGTTGTCGCACCGCTCGATATTCCTCCGAGCGCACAAACGCGTGTTACACACAAAGTACCAGCGCTTACTGACGCGCGGCATTAGGAGGATAAGATAAGATTAGGCGATGCTGGTGCAACAACGTTGCAAGCGAGGCCTTAATATCGAGGTTTGAAGCCGGCGCAACTCTGCATGTTCTGGAAACAATTATTTACGTGTCCGTGTAATATACAACTACCTACCGTGTGTGTGTGTGTGTATGTATAAAACGTATAAAGACGCGCGGAATTTTTCGCGAGTGTTTCGTCTCTCGCGGTCCGTATTAAAACGTTTACGTTACATTGTCGAATTGCTTGCGCGAAATTTAACATGCTTCACGTAACGCAGGAAAGACGCGCAGTGTATTTATAGGCAGTCATGCAAATTGCCGCCACGTCATCTTGAAGTTAAACGAAGCTTACATCAACTTCTAATTTGTGTCCATATCATTAACATTCAACGTTGGAATTTGTTAAACGTATTCGCCCGTATGTAAATTACCGCCTTAAAGACACAGCTGGACAAGAGATGATAATCATCTACATATAATCTAAATGCAACCCGTGAGGTAATTTTCCACGGAAAACAATGCATTTAATTTGTATGCGGTGCAGTTTAAAACGATCTACCCGCGAATCGCCGGACGATCCTACTTGGCATGTTAAACAAAGTTAAAAAAGGATTATTTGTTATTAAAACTGCTGATTGCATTTAAAGAAAGACCGAAAAATATTACCATTTCAATGTCGCGAATAACTCGAGTCCGAAAACAACTAAATTCCGATGAATACGAAGCCGTATTATCCAAATCGAAATTTTAAAATCTACATTAAGTCTTCAAAGTGGAGAAAATGGCAGTGACGTCTCCCACTTGTAACACCAAAGGAACACAACCGGTAGACTTCTGAACACTTAATATGGAACTAAATTAGACTTGAAATAGGCTGAAATTTCGACTCGGGCACGGGTGTACATTTCGCTTACCAGCGACGACGAATTCAACGGCCAAAGAGCTGGTTGAAACCGGACGAATCGCGGCGAAAAGATCGCGGAATAAAAATAGACCGATTCTACGGTAGAACATTCGGCGAATCCCGTTAACGGCGACCATCGACTCTCGCTCGTCCCGAAACGCGTCGCGGGGTTATATACAATTTCAAAGACGGCGATGAAACCCTAGGAGGGTCTCTCCCTCTTCGCTCGGACTGGGAGAGGAGGTTCGACAGCCGGCCGGCTGCGAACCTCATGGTAGCCGACGAGGTGGAGACGTTGTGTGCGCATGGTAGCGGGTTCGCGTCTCGCGAACGGCGTGGCGGACATAAAACGATTCGGAACGAATTTCGACAAATTGACGCGGCCGCCGCGAGCAACGACTCCCGCGCGAAACATCTAAGCGAGCCTAACAGAACCGAGGTGCACTACCGAGAGAGAGTGGATGAAAAAAAATACTTCCGTCGTCCCTCGCGTCCCTCCGCACCGGGCAGCAGCACCGCGGTGGCCTGCGTAGTCTTTCTGCCCTTTCTCCTACGTCCACATCTCTATCGTCTTCTACCTGCCCGGCTTCTCGTCCCGACGACTCTCTACCTACACGTCCACGACGGCGGATAATCGATTTAACGCGACGTCGCGCGGTAATTGTTAATTTCGAACCTTCGAGTTCGCGCGCTCGGCTGTGACGGGAAAAAACGGCCGCGGTCTCCTTTACACTTCTAATGAGTCCCGAAGGCGAGCGCGACTCACGGAGATTGTCCCTCGGGGACACCCTCTCCGGAAGCCACCGCGGTGGACACACGCGCGATTTCCATCGTGCGGTGTGTCGAAAACTCGACAGTTCACTCGAAATTTCCATGTAAAACGCGGTTTACGATTTCGAAAAATGTGCCGCGAAAGTAATCTTCGGCGATGTAAAAATCGCTCGCGCAAAGCCGCCAACGATGCTTCGACCTCGCCGCTCGGAGAAACCGCCGCGACGATCTCGGCATTTTTCTCAGGCCTCACGAGGTGCCGGTCGACCGCCACCTGTGCAGTTTCCCGTTTTATACGCGGTTAGGAAAACCACCGAGAGCGCGTTGCGTTACCGCGCGCTTTAAGTGCGCGTTTCGCGTTTCTTCAATGACGGTGGGCGCGCGGCGGCGTAACGACAAAGTGCAACGTCGATGACAAACGACGGGCAGAAACGAGGTGTCAGAATGACGGAACCGCAAAAGGTAATGATATGATTGGGCCGTTGGGCGCCGTACGGGGGATGTTTGCGGTTTTGCGGTTTTCCGCCCCTCGAATCGACGCCTTCTCTCTCTCTCTCTCTCTCTCTTTTGGTCTCCCCCGCGATATCCTTTTTCTCTTTCTCCCTCTCTCTTCCCCGCACCATATGCCCGCGCTCTTTTCACCGGCTCTTATTATTGCGCACAGGCATCGTCAATTTCACGCCGCGCCGCGCGGTTTACGATTCGCTAAACGACAGCAACGTGTTTTTGCGCGCACGGCTTCATTTCGTTAGCGGCGCCTCGATTCTCGTACGCGTTACTTTCAATTCTCTCGCGGATGAAGCGCGGGCCGTAATCGTAATAACGCACGCCCGAGTAATCGTAACGGTCGTGCGTGAAACGCGAGTCATCGGAGCCGGGAAGTCGGCGAAGAGGAGTGTGAGAGAGAGAGGTGGAGGGGCTGGGGAGAGGGGACAAGGGGGTCGGAGCCACACGAAGAGTGCCAAGGATAAAAATGAGTGCGTAATTACTCCGATTTGCCGTTGGAATACTAACGCTAACGATTACACGGCACTCTGACTACTGGCTAATTTCAACGAAGCTCGTTGCTTACGTTGAACCACGTGAATCGATCAATCAGCGATTCTTGTCGATCACGCCGCGCGACGTCGTCAGACGAACGAGAGTTTTACGCGAACGATATACACGTCCTAAAATTTCGACTATAAAGACGAGTGAGTGAATCTTACGACGCGATTACGCGAAGTTTCCAAGTGCCATCCCCTCCCCCCCCTCCAGGCAGTAATTCCGCCCCGAGCCATGGAGCTGCGAACGACGATCGTGATAAAATGCCGCGATATTCGTAATTTTTACAGCCTCTCCCCCGCTCCCCCGTAAATATTACTCCGTGCCCGAGAGAACTGCTGGAGAGGAACGCGCGGTGTCCGTGAATTCTATTCTTCTTGCGAGGTGTTCACCACGCGAAGACGACGGTGACTATCCGCATTCCTCTCGCACAAGAAACGCGAGTTATATCAATTAAATCAACGGCCGTAGAAACGACGCCCGGACTGTCGATTATTATTTCAACGACCGACAGACAGGCAGACAGGCTGCTACTGAGGTAATCGAATATTAAATAATTCGTAAGTGCTCCTTGAAATCTCTCTCAGAAAAGCAACGGTAACCGCCGTCAGTAGTATCGAAAGAAAAGAACCTGTTGTACCTTGAGATTCTCCTTGTTCCTTCGAATTCAACGAGGAATTTGGAGGATTATTAATACAAAATCAAAAATTTCGACTTGGGCGAAGGCATTATTGCTTTAGAATTATTACTAAATAAAACGAAACATGTGTCGAAACGTTGTCATCGAAATTACAATGCCTGGTGTTGGAAACTCATTGCAATGTCTTATTAAGAATTTTATTTGCCGGTGAAAACTTGCGAGAAAATATCCCGGTCGTACTGTTTATTTTGCAAAACATTAGTACTCGTCGATGAGAGGTCTGTAGACCTGCGTGCTCGCGCCGGCAACCCGATATAAAAATCGTCTTATTGAAATGTCTTAGGACGGCCCTGACTTTTTTTTCTATTTACAGCGTCTAGTTGCATTTGAGCCCGAGCGACATCAATCTTCTCGCACGTTGGAAAGCTCGACGCGACGCCCCGATAGATGAATTAATCGATCCGGATGAAACGCGACGAAAATGGTCACGGGACTTCCCATCGCCATCGGAGGACTCAATCCGCGCGCGCTCGCCTCGAGCACGCATTCCGCAAAATTCGGGATCACCTCGCACGGATGCAGGCACAAATATTCCCTCAGCACCGTGGTTTCTCTTTTAGCGCGGCGAGAGGAAAAAACCGCATGTGGCACGCGGTGAGGTCATAGGTGTTTCCGAGAATAACCCTACAGAGAGAGAGAGAGAGAGAGAGAGAGAGAGAGAGAGAGAGAACATCAATGAAGCTCGGTTATGCATTTTTGAAAATTGCTAATTTTTTCGCGTTAAAAATCGCGCGAAAATACTAAAACGAGCGATATCTGTCTTGATTCCGTATTCCGTCCTTTTTCAAGCAGACCGAACGAGTTAATCCTCTCGATGCGTCAAAGTAACCTGAGTTTATAAGATACCGCTATATGACTGGAACAGACGGACGGATGGATGAACGGAGGAATCCTCCTTCTCCTCTTTCTCGCTGGGGCGAAAGAACGCGCCGAAACCGCTTCTCTCTCCTTCCTCTCTCTCTCTGTCTCTCTCTCGGCGGCGTTCCGAGAAAGTCGTGGAAGAATCTCCTTTCCTCGGGGTCGGACCGGGGCACACGACGAATGGACAAATTACAGGGTGCACGGAATAATGAGGCTCCCGTTCTAGGACGTACACCAGAAATCGGGGCATCTCGCGGCTATAAATCACGCGGAACACGGCCGAGCCGCTCTGTAAAACGGCCAATTGACGTGTCTCGAGAGCTCGCACGGCCGATGATGCGCGTGCCACGAAAGCGTGCACACGGCTGCGAGAGCAAGCGCGATGACGCGAAGGGGAACAATGCGAGAACGTTAACGACGACGAGATGTAAGAATAATGCGATACGAGAAACAAGGAGACGCGAATGCAGCCCGAAACGGTCGCTACATTATTTGTTATGTATTACCTGTCCATCGTGTGCAATTCATGCGGGGGATTTCGCGGTGAGAACACACGGAGTGTCCCGGCGGTACTCTAAGCGCGATTTCACGCCTTCTTTTTTGACGGGGAATTTTGCAGAGCAAACAATGTGTCCCATGTTCGTTGCGTTGCAACACGCAGAAGAAAACCGGAAAGTATTTCTTAATCCGTGAAAATTATAATAGAAAGTCAAGACGATCCTTGGATTCGGACTGTTTTGCGTTTGCGAGGCAAAGATGAATGTGTAATTGTGAAATCGGCAATGTTACTTCGTCTCGCATCAAGGATGTGTATTGCAAAGGGAGCTCGTGCAAACAATGTGCGCCTTCCGGGATATGTTATTGATCCCAAAACGTACATTGTGCCAAAACCTATCATAAAGGATTTACTACGTGATAATTTTGTAAAATAAGCGAAAAAAAGATTCCACAGCCACGAAAAGCGGTACTCATTATTTGGAACGGTCTATAATCAACAATACGAGGGAAAATTGCAATGCCTATGATTTACAGTAATCCTAATAACGCTACGCTGAATTACCAATCTCAATGGAGAGAAACAAAAGGGATTATTTATTTATTTTTTAATTAATATTTGAAAATTAGTCCATGTTAAAATTCGCTCCGAAATTCTTCACTTCTAATCTGTTCCTCAATCGGTTCATGAGAATCTACATGCAGCTTTATCTTAAAAAAGAAAAATTCACGTAGTTATTTAAAAAAAGTGCCGTATTTCTCCATATTTGTCAATAAAAGACATCACGACGTATTACCGTCGCGGAAGAACAGAAAGGATCGTTAAAGCGGGAACAGCTCGTTGAAACGTGGTTATCTGTCGAGTTAACCATATGGTAATGATATTCCGTTCGACTTCGCCATGTATCGTAAAAACGATATCGCACGTGATATGAAAAACCGAGCGCGCCGCTTCGAAATGTAACGTCAATATTATTCGGGAGTGAGGATCCTAATGATGCATTTACACACGTATATCGATACCTTCCGCTGGACATTTCGATAATTTCGTATCAACAATTTCGCTCCGCGTTATTGGCACTTTCTCGTCAATAGTGTATTCAACTTCGGTAATTACGGGACACAGGAAAAAAAACAACAATTTCCTCGAGAATTACTTTAGAATATACAACCGATCGGACGTCACGAAAGAGTCCTGCTGAAAATAACGACTTCGAGATGGAAAATGATCGAGAAAGAGGTTTTCCTCTCGGATACAGCGAGATCCTGCAACTTCGCCACACGGAAGAGTATCGATGCTCATTCGCGCAGTAGCAATTCCGCTAGCGCTACAAGAAGAAGGAGGAAGGAAAAAGGTCGCCGCGCCTCCTTTCGAAAGCGCGGGAAGAAATCGGAGCGATCTGACGACGCGGCTCGTCCGTTACAGGCACGCGAGTTGAGGCAGGTCGGGCAGACCGACTCAGAAAATCAAATAGCCACGACGAATTTATGTGCATTTCAAGTTCGTCCCGCGACGACCGCTCTCGCACCTGCTTGACGCGCGCGCCTCGGAACATCCAAGGCGGTTTTTCGCTCGTGAGAAACGTAGGAACGTTTGTCACGAAAGCGGCCGCGGCCTACAGCTACAACGCGTTCGAGATACGCGGCATACGTATCGCCAAAGCGACGACAATGACGACTGATTACCATATTAATCGCCGCGGCGATTAGACATAATCACGCGCTCTTATATTCAAACTTATGTAAAATTATGTCGCGTAAATTGGCGATCCATCGTGATCGCGCGGCCGAAAGCGCGCGCGTGTAATCTCGCGATAAGTCGCGCATTTAGAAACCGTGCTTCGTTATCGTCCCGTAATATTACTCATTCGTTCGCTCGTCCGCTCATTCTCCCGACCGATCGGCGACGATGCGCTCTCTCTTTCTCGGCATACGCGAGATACCAAGAGAGACGAGGAAAATTTCACTCACCCGTATATGGCGTCCTTGTCGCGCTTGTGAACATCCGGTACCGCGGAGGCCGCGGCCGCAGCTGCCGCCGCGAGAACGTGCTGGGGCGGCTGAGGCGGGGGCGGTGGGTATTGGGGGTGAGCCGGACCCATTCCCCCGAGGTGTGGACTGTGATGAAGACCGGGAACGCCACGGGCACTACCGTGTGGGTCGTATAGCCCTGCGCCACCACCGCCACCTCCGCCCTCGAGGTAACCCGCGTGCAGCCCGCCATCGTCATACTGCAATCATAAACATTACATAGTTATTAATACCGAGGCTTGATGCAAAAATGGCATGTGTGTATACTGGGTCGTAAATGATTTCCAAGTGACGCAAACGACGAATATTTCTTTCTTTTTGCGAACACTTACGCGCACAAGGAATCGATCAATTAGACGAGAACAAGTTGTTATTAACATAATAGATGTAAGAAATACATTATAAAATAATGTATACAAGTTTAAAGAAACGAAAGAATTACCGAGGAATTATTCATGACTCAGTCCGGTATATTATTCGGTGCCTCTCTCGAAGTAAAAGGTGCACGCTCAGCGTTAAAGAATGTCGAAAACTTTTCTGATACGTGCACGTGTCCCATGAAAATTTCTAAGCGTATGCAAACAGATTCCTATATTTATATTGATTTCCTCTTTCTCAAGAAGATATTGTTTATCGATGATGTCTGGTATGCGATCTTAATTAGGTAAATGTTGTAGAATGAGGAGTTATCGCCAGCCAATATAAAACGAGATATACATTTTCTCCGCAATTATCACTCGCCAGTGCCTCCTAAATATTGTGATTCTCGGGCTTCTTTCTGATTTAAATATAGGCACCGCCGGTCCTGGCGTTGGCTCATAAATTTAGAATCGCGCGCGTTTATAACGATTGACGTAAGGACACGGACGAAGACGCACGTGGACGCGGAACGCTCGAAAGGTGACACCACGGGACGCTACCGTAGTGAGAATGTCACGTCTTTTTTTAAGTAAACTCGCAACAATGCAAAAAGTTCCGACGCTTCGCGGAGTTCGTGGGATGAGCATCGGCTGGCGCTTCTAAGGACACCGCGTTCTAAAACCGGATGCACGATATAGCGTCATCGTGATCTGCGGACGCGCGAGGTGCAATTAGATTTAGAAAATAAAAGCCCTCGTGCACGCGTCACAGACGAACGTACGTGAGTTTCGACCATCAATCACGATGCGTGCACGATATGCAAAGTAGTATTGTGAAAAACTAACGTGTGCTGAAAAATGAGTTCGATTGGATCTACCTGACAACGGACGACCAAACATATCTCAGTGGAAGAAAACAGATTTTCTGGTAACAAGAATCAAATGTAGTTCGCGAAAACAAGAAACGTTGTCTCCGTCAACCAGAACACGTTTGTTTGCCCATTGTCGGGTAAATTCAACCAAACTCATTTTTCAGTGTAACTGTAACTTGACAAATTTGAAATAGCGAGTGATAAATTCGTTAAATCTTTCCCCTTGAAACATTGTCGATCGGTTTTCAACGCATTGTCTAACACTATTTTAACCACGGTCGAAACACGAGATAATTCATGGAACGGCCAACAACGCGAGTTTCCCCGTAATGAATTAATAATATATTAAACCACATTGTATCCCTTTACCATATCTTTTAACGAATTAGTCCGATCAATTTTACTTGAGAACACGCCGAAATCTTCGCGCTCAATCCCGAGTTTTTCTCGGCCGCGTCTACCGCGACTCGCTGATTCTCAATATACGACCGCCGCCATCGGTAGGAGAAAAAGAAATAAGATTTAATCGCCGCGGGAGAGACAATTAATTACGTACCGCCGGTACGACCGGTAATAAATAACCGCGTATTCAATTACGCCTAGCCGCGCCAACGACAGGGACCTTCCAGAATATCGCAAAAAGGAGCGAGACCCCGACGGGGCCTGTGTGATTTCCAGCAATAAAGTTCTCGCGTCGATGCAAAACTGATGGATGACGGGCAGAAGTGCGCTAATTGCCGGACAAATTCGACGCGCGCAATCACGACGGGGCAGAGCCGGGGGGAGAGAGAGAGAACTAGCAAATGGAAAGCCGGAGACTCTCGCCTGAATCGATCGTTCGTCGATCGGGGACGGAAGCAATGATTTTCCCCGAGACCTCGACCCGTGCGCCGCTTGTCACGGCAACTCGCGCGCGAACCGAAAGCAAGCCGATTATTAACGCTAATTGCTTAATTCTAGCGTCGAGCTCGCCAATTCCGTCGCGAAAACAAGAAAGAAACAGCGGTTACTGGCCGAGAGAGAGAGAGAAGGGGAAAGAGGCAGATAACGCGCATTCGATGTAATCCGGAAGAACGCGATTGCAACCCGTTACGCGATGACGCTGCAAAAATATTGAGAGCGCTGCCTGCCTCGCTTCGCCTAATTCCGATCCATCTTGAACGCGCAATTCCGTCCCAGGAGAGCGAACGGAGAGGAATCATCGTTCTGACATGATGGATCAACCGCGAGGCGTATTCTCGCGCATTCTCTCCTCTCGTTTTTCTCCTGCACCTCGGAAACGTATGATTATGAGCGCACCGTGCAAAGAAAAAAAAAAGAAACAATGTCAGCCTCTCCCCCCGTTGATTTCACTTACCACTAGCGTAATTCGCATTATGCGGGGACGAGGATAGCCGCGTGTCCGCAAATGATCGAGGTGCGCTGGAATCCACGAGCGAGCAGGAGAGAAGTGATGCCCGACGCAATCCGAAAGAATGCAATCGCGAAATCGTTGGGACGCTGCGACGACGACGACAATGCGAAAATATATCGCGAGCGATATATTTATACCGAGGGATCTACGGATCCCGCTTAATCTCCGACCGAGGCTCACTCGCGCGTCACGATCGCGGCGGTGGGATCGCAAAAATTACGCGACAGGAAGTCGAATCGGCCGCTATCGCGTCCGAATTAATCCGATACGCGCGTTAAAGTCGCTGGAACGACACTTGGGGACGAAAGCACGTATACACGGTGCGTCGCTTGAAATTCGACCTTTCCCATGCCGCAACTACGTCCTCGTTTTCGTATCGCAAAAGTGCCGCGATAAAGCCTCGCCGAAGAACCGAACCGAGTGCTGAATTAATACGCCCGATATCTTCATCGGCGTTCCACGGATATTTACCGTGCATCCCCGAACGCCCGATATGTCCCTCGCATTTCTTACGTAGACGGCTTTTACGTGCGATAAAGCGCCGATTTCAGCTATATCGAGTTGAAAATCCTCTGACGATCCTTTCTCTCTCCTTCTGCTTCCCTCTCTTTTTCTCCCGATATGCGAGTGTATACGTGTATGTGTATACATTCACATGCATTGTAAATATTTATAGAAAAAAAAAAGAAAAGAAAAACCAAACGTTGTTTTCGAATTTCGCGACAATATAAAGGTCAAATAAACAGTCGACGACATGCTGTACGTGAATATTTTTCTGATGAAACCATTTTCTGCTACAATAAATAGCGAATAATAAATTAGCCAGCTATCACAAGTATTTCCATCTTAGCGATTCCTCCAAGTTCGCCCAGATAGGCGAGCCCCACTTATTCGCGACGAGTGGGCACGATGTAAGTGCAATTCTTGTTTAAAAAAGAGAGGGAGGAGAGAGAGAGAGAGAAAGCGCGCGCGAACACGTCGCGTCTCTAGAATGTCCCTCCGCCGCGGTGAGGAGGATTGAAAAAGGCCGCGGACAATAATTCACCGTCACGAAGGTATGAAGATATCACTCGACGACGGCGTGGAATATCTCGAAGGGTAGGCGAGGCGGGCGGGATGAGGACGGCTGGTCTCGAGACGCGATCGCGGGAAAGACTCGACGGACGACGTCTAACCGACGACGGAGCTCGTCGTCGCCGTCTTCCTCCTCGTCAAACGTCGTCGTCGAGCCGACGAAAGGCCTCGTGACAAAGCCGGTTCGAGGGAACGCGCGACCACGCTGCATACAATAAGATCCGCTATTTACGGACAGCCCGGCGCTAATTCGTGACCGAAACGGAGAAGAAGTTACACAGCGCGACGTCGCGACGATGTCGGGCTGTCACCGAGCGGTTATGAGGCGCAGCAGCGAGCACGATGGACCGACGACGGCGCTCGGAAAGATATTTCAGGAAACGCGGCGCGAAGAGGCGTCGATTTTTAACGCCGCCTTAACGCGCTCTCACGCGTTCAAGTCGCGAGTTCATTTCCGCCTTATCTCGTTAGAGAGATTCAACTCGGTCGAGATCATTCCTATTCCCCCTCGGTACACGTCGGTACACCCTCGAATATGCTACAGTATCGCGCACATGAACGACCACTTCGGCGAATAATACCGTCTTCATGAAAATTCATACGACCGTCTAAGTGCCGAATTATGTTGCGCGTGTAACGCTCGGGCGACTCGGGAGCTTCAAAAATTGAATAATGCATCCCACAGGGTTAACAGACGGGAATCCGTCGGCGCTGCGTCCGCAAAGGACGCGCGGGGATTAATGCAAGACGCGCGAGAGAATTCCGACGTATGGAAATGACGTTTTTGCGACAACTGCTCGCTCGGAGTCGCCGCTTCGGCAACACCAGCCGAGAATCCAGGGAAATTTAGCAAAGCCTGACAAACGACCGCCATTTATAAGTAGATAGGTCAAGGCGAGCGTTTAAGCGTCTCGGTGTAAATTACGAAAAAACGGAGAGGCACAAGGGGGAGAAGCAGGAGGGGGGAAAGAGGACGGGACGCGGTGCTCGCCTCCTCCGTGATACTGTCAACGATTATCTCCGGTTGAAAATATAAATCGGCGAAATACACCGAGCCCGACGGATCAACGCGAGGATTCAGAAAATTGCCGGGTGATGGAGGTGGCCCGCAGTCGGCGGATTTTGCGAGCCGACGAGGTAAACACCGACAACCCGACGCTACATCGGCCCTCATTCGCTCTCTCTTTTCCCTTTCCGCCTCTGTCTCCGTTGCATCGGCGTCCGCTGGCGTCGAAATCAATTTTAAAATCGTATAACGTTGAAGAAATATCGGAGGCGTCCCACCCGGCCATTAATCTATCGCGCGAGAACCGCGTAATGCGAAAAATTTCGCTGAAGAGCTTTCGACGAGGAAAATAAAATTTACTTTTAATACTCTTCTCTCTCTCTCTCTCCCTCTCAATTTCTCTGCGTTGGCCACCTTGCCGAGATTGAAATCACTCTTTACAAATGACGCTATTTTTATCGTTTAACCCTAATTA